CTCCACAGCCCGAACAAGCTGTGAACTCACAATCATTACTTTTTGGAAACTCAACTTCAGCCCCTGCCACAGCAGATGCTGTTTGGAAAGAGTTGAAACAACTGCTGTAAATATTGGTGGAGAGCTAGTCTAGCAGCACAATGCAGCTCTGCAGGCATAGCTGCTCAGAAAGGATTCCCTGGGTGTGGGAGGGCCTACAGGAAGAACATACTGCAAGCTGTTCATTCTAGTCTTCCCAACTCCATTTCTAGCTAATTCTGATCATCCTTGATCTCGAGACTCTTGCCTCTATGATGTCTTACACCATCAGACACATGTCAGCCCCACAATGCCACAGCTGTGTAGGTTTTTCATGTCTGCATTTCTGTTGCACAAGTCAAGGCTGATGACATTCCAGAAAGCAAAGTATTGACATTGTGCTGCACCCATCTTCGAAACTCAGTGAGGAATTCTGACCAGGTAGGGCCAAAGACAATCCTATTCAAGAAACATCCTGCATTGCTCATGCGGTTGGGTGCCTGGAATAGGCTGGGTGCTACAACATGGTTTCTCATAAACCTCGCCCTAGTCAACCCTATTTACCTGCTCAGCTTCCTTGTATACACATTTATTCTTCCTTGTCCACATTTATTCTCTTACATGTCTAGAAGCCACAGAAAAAGTGTCAACAGGGCTGGTGTCTCCCAAAGGCTCTGAGAAGGAAATCCATTTTCTCCTTTTGCTCAGCTGCCAGCATTCATTGGTTTGTGGCCACGTCCTCCATCTTCAACATTTATCACTCCAGTCTCCAGTCATCCCAGTGTCTTCTCCTCTGATTGTTCCTCTCCCGAGTCTCTATTATAAGAACTTGTGATTATGTTGGGCAGCCCTAAACAATCTAGGAGATTCTCTCTGTCTCAAAATCTTTAACTTAATCACAGTCCAAGACACTGAAAAAAAACACAAACAAACAAATTCCTATTCTCACATTCCACAACCAATACATCTCTGACCTAGGATGTATAGAGACTTCCCCTGTGCAGTAATGGTATCTCCAGCAGATACCAGGGGAGTACCCTCTAATTCAATTCGATTCTGACACTGTCTACCTGGAGGTAGCATTACATCCCACAGGCGGAGGGCTCAGTCCCCAAGACTGCCCCCCTCTACTTTAGCTACCAGTTACGCGTTTCGACCTCGAGAACATTTGATCAACTGGGTATAGAGTGGGGGTCCCCAAGAATCTTTCCTTGCAGTCAATTAATTAGCTAGAGTGACTCCCACAACTCGGAGGAAAACATATTAGTTACATTTACTGATTTGTTATAAAAGATAAAACATATAAACACCAGATGAAAAGATTAATGGCAAACAAAGCATGTGGAAAAGAGGGTGGAGATTCCATGTTCTTTTTCAGCATCTCATTCTCCAAGAATCTCTACCTGTTTAGCTATCTGGCGGCTCCCTTGAACTCCCCATGTTAGATTTGCAGGATACTTCCTTACCACATCATCGGCCATTGGAGATCGCCTCAGCCTTCAGCTCCTCTCCCCTCCTTGGAGGATGAGGATGAAAAAGATGGCTTCGGGAACCGGCAGTTAGCGTAATGGCTATGTCGCTGGACTCCCACATAGTCGACCGCGGTTCGTGTCCCAGACCTGGTGGCTTAAAACTCACGCCGGGCGCGTGTGCGTGCGTGGCCAAGATCCCGAGAGGAGAATGGAGGAGAAGGGATTGCGGCTTGACCATCCCCCCTGGGGGGTGATTTCTCGCTTTCTGTCTCTATGTCTCTCTCTGTCTGTCTGGCGAGCGCACGCGCCCTACAGTGAAAATCTCTCAAAAAAAAAAAAAAAGATGGCTAACTCTGTAATCAGTAGTTGATTCCTATGGAAACCAACTCCCATTCAGAGGCTATGCAGGAGTCCCCCCTTTACACCATCAACTCATTAGCATACCAGCCAAGGGGCCCAGCAGTAATGCAAACTCTGCATTGCTGAAACCATACTAGAAGATGCTAAGTTTGTGTCCTGAGGTCTCCTCTATGGTTGGGGCACTCACACATACCTAGAATACTGACTGGCAGAGACTAGGCTAGGGGTGGACTGTGGTATGAAAACCTCTTGGAACTATCTGTCTCTCTTTCTCTCTTGTCTCCAACTCTTTCTCTCTCTGAAAAAATAAATAAACTTAAAAAAAAAAAAAAAGACACTTAAGACTTTGGAGATTCTGAGGATTTTAGGAGTTGCAGACCAGGAAAGGGAACAAAGCCAAATACATACTTCATGACATCACCACAGTTGCAAAGTCCCTTTTGCCATTTTGGCATGTTGTAGTCACATCAGTGAGAAATGAGAGGACAACCAGACATCACCAAATTACTGGGGTTTATTGCTGGTGGCTTACAGGAGGACTCATGTCTCTCAAAGACCCTGCAGTCGCCAGTGAAAGGAGACGGGTGCTTATAAAGGCAAAAATCACAATAATTTCTTGCTATGTGAAAGGACTTATAGAAGCCAAAAGGAGCAGAGTAATGATTTCTAAGGACACTCTCCAGACCTTTGTTTAATGGTCCTCAGGGCTCCTGGCAGGGGTCTAGTGATTGTTGATTACATTGCTAAGAAACTTTTAAACAAAAAGAATTTGGGCTGGTTAGCAAAAACAGTAAGACTATTAATCACTCTATTTATTCTGGGTAAAGGAGGAAGCAAGTATAATATAAAGTTCAAAGATGAAGGTGCTTCTGCTTCAGGCAGAATTCAGAGGTTCCTGGGATGGGCATGTAAGCTTATTTTGCGGTCTATTATTTAGCCTACCGCGATGTAGACTTAATAGCTACAACATTGCCCTTTCACTCCTAAGGAAGTGACTACTTGTTAGGAAGTAAAATGGAGATACTGAATCATGTTCAAGGTTAAATACATAATGAAAAGTGCGCAACCACCTGGAAATTGTTTTGAAAGGAACAGTCAGTGAGCAATAATGAGTGGGGCAGGGCAACAGCTCCCCCACAGAGTGAAGAAGTCCTGATCTGCATAGGAAGAGCTGCATCTCTGGGGCAGAGGCTCATGTATGATTGAACAGTGACGACAGTGGATGTTCAGTCTGTTTTTCAGCAGATGCTCGGTGAGAGCCCACACTTGCCTAGTCCCGTCACCACGCTGGGGATGTAGAGACATGTGCTCAGGAGCAATTTCAGAAGAATAGTAGCTGACAAGCTGAATTCCAGGCAGCATATGAGCATATGAGGGAGACATATAAAGTGTGTAGGAGTACTGAGAAGGCAGGGGGATCATGGCCCTCTCAAAAATACTAGGAGTACAGATAAACCCCTGTCACTTAACTTCTCCAGGAACTAATGAAGGATGATGTGCTCTGCCTCTCTGGTAACATGGGGAAAGCACGCAGGGAAAATGAGAAGAGACAGTGGAGGAGAGAGGCAAACTACTAAGACAGCCACAGGAGAAGGGGCGGAGCCTCTGGATTCCAAAGCCAAAAATAAAGACTCTTAATCAAACCACAGGGAGAAAATAAAACATGTCCATTCTTCCATTCATTCACTTGTGAAGATAAGGTTTATCTAGAACAGAGACTTCTATACAAACTTTTAAAAATATAGGGCCAGAAAATAGGAGGGAGAGAGGGAGGCTCACCGGGTATGGTTATTCCCTATTGACAAAGTGACTGACTGTCCCAAAATATTCTTTCTCAAGATAATCCCAGGTTTTCAGTCTCCCCTAGGCTGATCATGCATCCTGCTGCATATGCACCATCATCCCTGTCAATAAATCACTTCGGATAGCTTTTGCTCCTCATGGACTTTCACCCCCGTTCTGACCTTGCCCCCATCTATATAATACCCGCCTCTGTTATCTTTGTCCAAGGTAAACTCTTTCAGAACAGTTTGCATTATATGGTATTGCATTATATTGTAACCATTTATGTTGGTTTAAGAGGTTTTTTGTTGGGGGGGCATGGGTGTTGTTTGTTTTTTGCCTTAGGGAACATGCAATCAACAGAGAGAGAGAGAGAGAGAGAGAGGGAGAAAGAGATGAAGACACTAAGAGGGAAAGTATCCCCAGTGGGGATAGCCATGTCACAATCCCTTCTCCATTCTCCTCCCAGGATCTTGAGCACACATGTACGCATGTGCCTGGCATAAGCTTCAAGCCACTGAGTCCAAGACTCCAACCACAGTCGGCCACGTGGAAGTCAGCAACATAACCACTATGTCACCTGCTGGCCCCTATACTGTAAGCTTTTTATTAAGGTAAAAGACCCTCACTTTTTCTGGGTCAAAGGACATGTCATTTCCATCGGGCCAAGCTGCTGTTTCTGACCAAATGCCCTGGGACCTGACCCTTGTTTTGCGCTAGCTTAATAAGACCAAAATGTCCTTTTTCTTTCTACCTTTCATTTTGCAGGTGTCTTTTTAAGTTTGACACATGCAATAGATAAGTGTCGAGCATCTACCAATTGTCAGGCACTGCTCTTGGCTTGTTAAAACAGACAAAGGACTTCCTGTCCTCACAGAGCTTACATTCTGTGTAAACGAATAGAGAAAGTATGTAGTATGTCAGGCAGAACAGTGACACCGCAGTGAAATGTAATGCTCTGAGAGGCAAACCCACATGGGAAGGTTCCTGGTTCAAGTTCGGAGATTTCCTCAAGTAGGAGGGATGCACATCTAAGGCTGGAGCTCAGGATTGAGACACTGTTGAGGGTGCTGTATTTCTCTATCTCGCTCATGGAATCAATCAATAGACTTTAAAATGTAATATACCATCTTGTGATTTGTCTTGTAGGGACAATTGAACTAGGAAGGGGGACAGAGTGCTGATGGAAAGACTTGGTGGGCAGCCCTGTAGCCTTGTGGTCGAACTGCTTATGTCGGACTGCTTATGGAGGATTCCCAGTATGGGGGATGGATGACAGACATAAGACTATGCAAGCTTTTTTTTATAGTCTTCCCAACTAGACCACTTCTAGCAAATTCTGATCATCCTCAATATTGAGACTCTTACCTTTATGATGTCTTAGCCCATGTAAGTCCCATGTTGTCAGAACTGTGCACGTTCCCATAACTTTATTTCTGTTGCACAAGTCAAGGCTGATGACATTCCAGAAAGCAAAGTATTGACATTGTGTTACACCCATCTTCAGTCCTCGGTGAGGCATTCTGATTAGGTAGCACCAAAGACGCTCCTGTTCAAGAAACATCCTGCATTGCGCATGTGGTCAGGTGCTTGGAGTAGGCTGGGTGCTACATCATAGTTTCTCATACAGCTCACCCCAGTAGACTCTATTTACCTGCTCAACTTTCTTGTTCAGGATGACATTCCGGCAAAATGTACAAAGGATAGACCAGAGCCAGGGCGATGAAGCCACGGGGCAGGTGGTCAGCTCATGTTCCCTAGAACATTAGAAAAGAGACTCACAATTTAAAAAATGAGGCTCTCAGTGCCAGGAGTTGCAGTGACTTCTGATCCAAGTAACAGGAAGTACTTTTTTGGGAATAAATCCAGGTTTATGTAAGTAAGCCCTAAGAGACAAAAAAACAATAGCCCATTCAGTATATTCATTTCCTATTGATACAGTAACAAATTATCCCAAATTTATTGGCTTAAAATGGTATGCATTTGGGGCCAGCAGATAGCAAAATAGTTATATCGCTGGACTCCCGTGTAGTCAACCATGGTTCAAGTCCCAGACCTGGCAGCTTAAAACTCACCTAGGCACATCTACATATGTGCCCAAAATCCTGAGAGAAGAATGGAGAAGGGATTACAGTGTGGTCATCCTCCCTGGGGAGTGATTCATTATATTCTGTCTCTCTGTTTCTGTCTCTCCAGTGAGTGCACACCCTTATAGCAAAAATCTCTCACTTAAAAAAAAATTACTAGGATTCCAGATAAACTCCTGTCACTTAACTTCTCCAAGAACTAATGAAGGATGATGTGCTCTGCCTCTCTTATAACATGGAGAAACCACACAGGGAAAATGAGAAGGGACAGTGGAGGGAAGAGGCAAACTACGAAGACAGCCACAGGAGAAGGGGCGGAGCCTCTGGATTCCAAAGCCAAAAAGACTTTTAATTGAACCACAGGGAGAAAATGAAACATGGCCATTCTTCCATTCATTAACATGTGAAGATAAAGTGTATCTAGAACAGAGACTTCTATACAAAATTTTAATAATAAAAATAGGGTCAGAGATGTAGGAGAAAGAGAGGAAGGCTGACTGGTCTGCCCACCGGTTATGGATGTTCCCCATTGACAAAGTGTCTGACTGTCCCAACACATTCTTTCTCAAGATAATCCCAGGTTTTCGGTCTTCCCTAGGCTGATCACGCATCCTGCTGCATATGCACCATCATCCCTGTTAATTAATCACTTCGGATAGCTTTCACTCATGGACTTTCACCCCCGTTCTGACCTTGCCCCCATCTATATAATACCCGCCTCTGTTATCTTTGTCCAAGGTAAACTCTTTCAGAACAGTTTGCATTGTATTGTATTGCATTGTATTGTAACTTTGTTGTTGTTGTTGCTTAACAGCTTTTTTTTGGGGGGGGGGTTGGATTTTTTTTGCTTTATGGAACTTGCATTTGGCTGAGAGAGAGAGAGAGAGATGAAGACAGTAAGAGAGAAAGTGAGATCATCCCCCAGTGGGGATGGCCATGCCACAATCCCTTCTCCATTCTCCTCCCAGGATCTTGAACAGATGTACGCATGTGTCTGGCGTGAGTTTCAAGCCACTGGGTCCAAGACTCCAACCACAGTCAGCCATGTGGAAGTCAGCAACATCAT